TTTGTAGCGGATTCTATTCCACTAGAAGTGCAGGCAAAGGGGCAATTTAGAACAGGATGTCTGGATTCAATGACAATACACGTTTCAGACTAGAAAATCGTGGAAAAAGCAAGTAAATATCAGCATGATTAGTTACATTACTCTGGGGCTTGTGACTTCAAATGTTTCATACCAAGTACTTAATTCTCATTAAACTTTGGAATTTACTTTGAAAATTAGACATTCATTAATGAAAAACAATGCTATTCTGGCTCATTTTCCAACAGTGACTAGGCAAGATATGTAGGAATCACTGTGGAAAATATTCTGTATCCAAACATTCTATACTTTACAACAGTATTACACCAGCCCCTCATTTAACATCCAAAACATGTTGTGATCCAATTTTACTTATTTTGAATCAATGGCATGCAAAATTGTATATTCCCAGTCTTATCTTAAATCTGGCACAAAATTTACAATATTCTTGGGCATTTCTTTAACCAAGTCCTTGAGCACATAACTTACAATATGTGTCTATATTTCATTTCACTGATTGTGCATATTTTCAAAAAAACTAAATAATTGGCAATGAATGTTAACATCCATAACAGTGCTCACTTCTTGAAAACATTACGGTTGTGGTGCTGGCAGCAGGGGCACTTTTGTGGATTCCAATAAATAGTGGATGCGGGATTTGAACCCACTTTGCCAACAAGCGTGGCTTTGTTAATGACTCAATCAGCCAACACGCTGATATTCAGGGATAGGTGGGGTGAAATTGGGTTTAACGTTGTGCTTGAGAATATGTCGCTCATATGACGACGTGCATCGCGTGATGATGTGTAGGTTACGGCTGCTTGTACTAGCCCAGACCGAAGCTGGTTTTATAGGGCTAGCCCACCGAGATACCATGCCACAGTGAAGCATGAATACCCCACTCAGACACATTATACTGACTCGAGCCGACCAGTCCTTGATGTACCCATTAATGCGGAGCGCCAGGCAGGGACCAACAAGTACCATATTTTAACGTCTTTTGGTATGACGCGGTCGGGGATTGAACCCGCGACCTTCCACTCTCCGGGCGGACACTCTAACCACTACACCACAGAGGCGGTCTATTCAGGGATAATTTACCAAGTCACCAGCACCTGGTTGTTACCTTTCTTCACATCTGACTTAGCCAGTTTCTCCTCAACTTGAAACGAGAGTTCAGGGCCCCTGAAGAAGCGCCACTGGAGAGCACAGCAGCAATACAGCTAGACAGTGGACGCTATAGTGCGATAATTCCTCATTGGCTGGCAGTCATTGCTGGTTGTTGGTAGTAGGGGGATAGACTTCCGCCTGTATCCCCCCTGAAATTTCATTCTAGTCAAATCATACCACCTGAATATATATTCCTCATCTGATAAGGATGAGTTTTAGCATGTTCCTTTAATTGTATCTGAATATATTGAAAGACATATCCAACTTCTAAAAATACCACTCAAAGAAATTGTTCATCATCGTGAAAATTTGGGGGGATACGGGCGTGAGTCTTACCTAAATATATATCGGAACCTATACCAGTTTTACTCATGTGAATAACGAAAAACCTGTATGACCTAATAAACACTCATTACAAGCGTCGCAATAGACGTAAATCAGACAGTAAAGATGCCGATAAAAACAGATAAGGTTTATAGGGTCCGTTTATAGGACTGAAAATCAGTCTTTATAATTACTGAGTTGGATTACCAAGAGTAAATACACGTGTTGCTGTGAAGAAATTCAGAAAAAGCAAACTTCACTTGCGACATTTCACAACACAACACGACGCCATTTTGAATCACAAAAATTGCGAAAACAACTTCGGTTTATCTCCTCTCTTTCCAGTATAACTTACCGAATCCTTCCTTCAAGTTCAAGAGTTCACCGCTCATTCAAGCTAATATACGTGTTCCACCCGACAAAAAATGGTAACTTGAAAGTTGCTGAGAGTGTAAGGTCGCTGCCGAAACGTTTGTTACAAATCCTCAAGTGTGAAGTTGAGGGAGTGCGCATGTGCTATGACGTCACTAAACTGCTTTCCAGAACTTTTATTCATTTCATATTAATTACGAATTAACCAAATATTTCCGAGAAAGACCATGATGTTTTAGGACATTGTATATATTATTCCAACTGTTTATGGGAATAAGTACTTAAATATGGAATCGTACGCCATAACGTTGTTAGAGAGTACATTTTTGGACTGGTTCCAAGCTGTTCTTAAAGCCGGTCAAGGCGTTATAAAACCGGTCGCTTGACACAGTCGCGCAAGGTCTGTCGACAATGCAATACGGCGAAGGCGACATTAAAAACATTTAACCAGAAGAAATGATCAGTCGCGCCTAATGCCGCAAGTTCACAGCATACAATCAGTTTTCTTCAATCTTGAAAAGGATGTATTTAAGATGATATCTTGTAACTTATACTTGGACAGATGGGTGCGCTTTGTGCTTGTATTTGTTTTGACGACTGATAAGGCAATAGTTAAAGCTAAACCGATGAAACTCACAGATGAATTAGATATGCGATAGTTCTAATGCTTACGTAGTCTGTCTCATAGACCCAGAACTACATTATACTCCCAGCTGTCTTGCCCTCCCTGCAATGCTAAAGCCCTAGATGAAGCAAATCTAGATTTCCCCAGAATCTCACTGGTGTTCCTTATCAATTAAATGGGTTTAATTGTTACTAATCAATATCAATTATATATATATATATATATATATATCTATATATATATATATATATTCAGGGACTAAGCGTTAGCTTACGGTAATGGATTAGATATACTTACACATCCATGTTTTCAGTAAAGAGTTGGGTATACACGTATATATATGTTTTAGTGATGAGTTAGATGTACTTATTTTTTGTTCACAGTGCTGAGTTAGACATTCATTACATGTCTGTGATGGTTTACAGTGGTGACTTACAAATATCACTAGAAACCGCCTGTATCCTTATCTCAGTATATATATGCCCGTCATAGGGAAACTTGAGGCATTCTCTGTGCAGATACCCTGCCACGCCTGTACCATCAAAAACATTGCAGAAAATCTCAATATCCAGGATCCAGGTCTTTCCGAAACAGTTATAAAGACTGAATAGGAAATCCATCAATCGAAATGCTTTTAGTATTTTTCATTTTAGTGCCTTTTTGTTACAAATTTTTTTTCTCTTTGGAGTATTGGCAGTCGGTGGCGGCATCATCTTCGTTATTTGTTGAACAGTTTCTCATGAAACTATCTAAGTTCAATTTTTTTTCATCTGAAATTTCTGTACCCATATCTGAGATGGCGGTATATGTGCGTTCACTTATGTAATTGTGACTATAAACTGAATTACAAAAGAAACTTGACACTCGATCACGGTTTTCTTTTCTTCAAAAACAAATAAGTTATTTTGATTGATTCATACAAGATAATAGTCATTAGTCTATGACACATTCAAACCAGGATGTCATTGTTGTGCTGAGGAGATACAGAATTGTCAGCAGTCAAACACCATAGAATGGATTTTGCACAAGGACAGTCCTTATGATATTGAGCTTTCGTCGCTAGAAACGTTGGTAATACAGTTAATACCGTGTATGACCGACATTTTCAGTCATGCAAGCCAGTGCATTTTGTGGCACAGCCAGCGTAACCCGGTGGACGACGTTACCAGGAATCGCCTCCACTCTCCATGATGAGCCTCTTCAAGATGTTGTGTTTTCTGTGGCCGTTGTGGTCGGTGTCTCAGTCGTTTGCCAAGATAATCAATCACATTCACGTCATTGCCAACGTCACACAGTTCACGCACATTCAATTATGTGACACTTCCATGTCGATGTCATCCTACGGAATGGTCTGGGGGCGCTGATTCCTGTGGAATGTAATTGTCTCACCTCTTAGAATACGTCTCATAAATGATGATGACGTCACAGAAAGAAGCCTACTTTGTACGCGTAGTTTTCCGATGTACTGGTTTCCTGATGGATAATGAATGACATTGGCTTTCCACTTCGGGGACAATCAGATGTCTGGAAAGTGATGTGGCTGTTTGTGTGTCCCCCATTTGTCTTTCTCACAGTCCCTGATGCCTGGACTCTCTGAATGCTTAAGCCCTAAATGAAGCAAGTCTAGATTTCCCCAGGTTCTCTGGTCTCCCTGGGGCTCCTTTTCAAATTAAATGGGTTTGTTTGTTACTATCAAAATTATATATCGTCAGAGACTGAGCATTAGTCTATGTCCCCATTTGTGACGTACCAGCGGCGTTCCTGTTGGTTTTCTTTTCGTTACAATGAGGATATTCAGCTAGACCATATAGTAATCATGTACATAATGTTCAGTTTAAAAAAAGAACTCTTTTGAGAAAGTATAAGCACAAACATTTTACCAGTGCCATTTTCATATGAAAAAAAGAATTACCTTGGGCCATTTGAAAGGAGCCAGTGGAAGTATAACATCTAGGAGTAACCTTTGTGTGATTGACCAGAGACCATAAAATAGGCCCCCTATTATATGGTCTCTGGGTTGTTTGAGTGCAATCACACTTATTATGTAATCAATATGTCTATAATATATGTACTAAAACATGTCACCTGATCGTAAAGATTTGATGGTTTCGTTGTTTGTTAATGCAAAAGACACATATTTTTAGTGATGATAAATATTTTGTTTCTCGAAAATCATAGTGTTCACTGGGTTTCCGTCTAGTCATACCAGTTAATGGGCGGTCACGCATTTCAAAGTTAGCACTAGTTATTGCGCAAGAATTGCGTCGAGGAAACAGTCCAAACACGTGCTCACTATGGCGCCATCTAGCGGCCGTGTGAAATGTTACACTGAATAGTTGTTAGTATTCTGAACAATTCAAGCCTTTAATTTCAAGATATCGTAGTTTGTAAATGCTAATATATCAAGAAAAGTAAAATCAAAGCATATTATTCTGGTTTTATGAAATTTTATTTTAATTTATGAAACACTTTGGTACGAGATTAGCGAGATTTCCCCTATGGCCGACGATCGTGTTTGGAAAGCGAGAACGAATATATTTACAACAAAGAGTGCGAGATATTGGCTTCGTTTAACAGTCAAGTAAGATATATACAATTTACAATGAACTATTGTCAATGCGCTAACCATTATTGTCTTTGAAGAACTAGGGCATCTGAGGAAATCGTAGAGAGCAGGGAGGCACCCAGCGATCGACACCGACAAGCAAGCGCTCGGCGTGAAGAGTCGACCCATGTTCTGCAATCACCTCAAGCCCGCCTGGATGTGTCAGCAAGCGAGTCGTTGACCAAGTAAAGCCGGGACCAACAGATCGACATGGCGGATTTCTACGACCCAGCATGCCCAACAGAGTAAGTGCAGACACATACACAATACGCCGACAGCGTCTCTTGAAGCCTGTCACAACAATCACACGTGTAATGATGTAGATTGCACGTCAAGTGCCATTTACCATCGCATTCCCTTGTGTGTTCTTCATTGTGCACCCCTAAAACATCAAAGGTTTGATTTTTTGTGCTTCCTGGACATTACCTTACATTAATGTTCAGTTATGCTTGTCATATTCCCCATACGTTTTGTCACAAGAAGTGAAGTGACAAATGACTTATTCATTCTACAAGCATAGTTTTGATTTAGGTGTTCTGAAATGGCGATTTGTTTTCAGTTGGATCTTCTCAGGGTTACATGGTAACACCGACGACAACATGTCCTATCTCAAATGTGGGTTAGAAAATCTGTTACATTCAGATACACCCACAGATACATGCCAAGTTTGATTGCCTTCCATCTTCTTATCAGATCTAATCGTTGTAGACCATTTGAGGTGATTACATGGTTCTGACAGCTGTATAATGAATGGTTAAACAGGTGAAACTAACAGATGAATTGTACAATTACCTTGAACTGTAATATACATGTATTTCAAAGCATGACTTTCTGACTACCTGCTTGTCACAGATTGTCAGTTAGGTACCAACATTCAAATTAAACTAGGATATGGAAGATGTTCTTCAATTACAAGTTATAGCCTTAAACTAAATTAGGGTTTTTAATAGTTAATAATAGTTACTCCTAATGAAAGCAAGATGTTTTCTGTTTCCAGATCATAATGAAACCTTGCATATTTGCATAGATCGTATATTTTTTTATAATACATGTTAATGTACTGTTATCTTGTTATTGTAAAAGTGTATTCTGAATTATATAATGTAACCTGAACATATTTGTTGAAGACAGTAGTGAACAACCTATGACCCAACCTATAAATAAAAAAACCAAAAAAACCCTATGACCTATGCATCACTTTCAGATTCTCTTTAAAGAATTAGTTTCAGAAGGAACAAGGCTTGAGTCCAGCCTTGCTGGACATTTTATTTTGTTCTCTTTGTGGAAAATAGGCATTTTCTCTATTTGAGGTATGATAATTGATTAAGGATAAATTGAACAAAATGAAAAACAAATTATCAGAAGCTTGAGGAATATTTTTACTTGTTTTCTTGAGTCTTATTGACAGAATGATGGCTTTGTCAAAGTGTAGTCCTCAACAGAACTACCATGGAAAACCCCCAACTCCAGGGGCAGATAACTCTATTTAGTTATTATGTAGGTTCATGTATTTTGTCATTCGCATACATCAAAGAAACCTTTATACTCATAACTTTGTATTTTTCTGATTGCTCTTCTCTGGATTTTGGCTTTTATGCCTTATGACTAAACATTGGTCTGATCGATTGCCAAGGATTTTTTGTGTTATATTTCTTCATTATACTTGTCAGTTGCTCGTCTAACACACTCATAAATTATTTTTCTACCTTGAGAGCGTGACATTACTTGTCTCCCCATTGTGTGACCATAGAATAATACAAATTTGGCGAGGAATGACTACTCATATAGATCATAGAAAATGATAATTGTTAACGAAGTATAGATCAGTTATCAGTAATTGTTGGAGCTAAATGTTCAACATCACTGATGAGTGTTGACACACAATTGCATGGATTACACTGTGTAAGATCTAACCAAAACATCATTTTGAATAGAATTTAGTAATGACCTGTGGTATAAGATTATATTTTGTGTGTTGAATTGTTGAGGAAGAATGAAATAAGTCAAATTTATATCTTGTTTGGATTTTCTAATATGATTCCATGATGTAATTGATGTAATGCCACAAATCTGGTTTCAGCTGACAGTTGAGAGTTATGAAATAAGGGATAGATTTTTGTTGCGTCCAAAATAAGGTTGAAAATGTCCTTGTAACTGTTGATTGTGTTGTAAAACTAAAATAAATTTCTCAACATTACCAAATTGAATGACAGCACTCATGTGCAACTGAAGAAATTTCATAAAATATTCCAAAAGGAAACCGTTCCATATTGAATATCAGAGTTTACAGAACTTAATTTTTGTGTGTGTTTAATTGTTTTATTTTTCAGGTCTTTTTTTTCATTGATAAAACATATACCAAACATGTAAAGGTTTTTTTATTTCATTTTTATATCTTCTTTTCAAGATTTAAATGTTAGAGCAATGTTTTTGCAGTTGTTGAGTGCAGACACATATGGTCCTTAAGGCCAATGGTGATACTTTTTCAGTTTCAATTGCTTTCTTTCAATTATGGAATGTTAACAAATTAGTAGGAATACTATTTTCTGTATAACAACACAATCAGCAGATTGCTTTCTGTCATCTGCAATTGACAACAAGAAGTCTTTTATTTCATCACAATACATTTTGTGAGATGTTGTGGGTCATAATTTTCATATTGATAAGTGTTAATAACTCACCATAGTGATGAAAATTCTGATTATCAATGTGTGAACGATTGAAGTAACTCTGATGCTACATTGAATTGTAACTCACTTCTATTCTTACAGGTTCTCTAATTTCAAAGGCAACACTTAATTCTGTCTGAAACTAAGAGTTTACCCTATGTCAAGGAAGATCTATAAAAAAATATTTTTCAAACAATGTTTTACTTCTTGATGACATTACAGTGTATTTAGGCAAGACCAATTTTATTTCTTGTTTTACTGATTTTTGTCCTCAGAAAACCTAAAGGCAGGAGGGGGGTGGGAAATCACAAGTCAAAGCAAAAACCCAATTGAGTTTGCATGTTAACTGTTTTGGTTTGTTTATGTCAACTAAAAATAAGTTGAGTGAGTTTAAGTTTCACACTTATTTCAAGAGTATTTCACTTATATCACATTAACATTAGGATTTATTTTTTGAGCAGGGAATATTAATTTAATTTTTTTTTCTTATTCTTTAAAAAATATGATCGTCGGACCCGTAAAACAACAAATAAAATTTGTCTGGCCTTAAAATGTTTTAAAGAAGTTTATTTTCATACAGGTTTATTTGGCCAGATGATACTTGTACTGAAAAAAAACATACTAAAATAATCACTCATTACCATACAGATAAAGGTACAGATGGAAGGTTAAGTTATTCTTTATATCCTATGCTGACATCTGTACCACTCCTTTGGGCTTTCAGCAAGGGGGGCGGTGGGGTAGCCTGGTGTTTAAAGCGTTCGCTTGTCACACCAAAGACCAGGGTTCGATTCCCCACATGGGTACAATGTGTGAAGCCCATTTCTGGTGTCCCCAACCATGATATTGCTGGAATATTGCTAAAAGTGGCGTAAAACCAAACTCACCCCACTTTCAGAAAGATCAAAAGAATTTAATAACCTCAAAAATTTATACCAATTTCTTTCAGTATACAATATCTAAAGAAATCTACATGGTCTGTGAAAGTTAACTTGGATTAGCCCAGAAATAGGGTCATTAAAAATTGATACGTGATTGTAACATGACAACGATGTCTCAGTCAATTGTGTTATTCTGTTACTGTGTAGGTGTGTGCAGGACCATCTGTTTGGAAATAAATAGATTTGGTTGTCAATGTCTTTTTATTGCTACATAATTACCCTTGAATGAGAGTGATGCTTGAAAATTTTGTGAATTTTTCAGGCCTGCATTTAGTTTGATTAAATGCCTTGAAAAAAGAATAATTTCTGTTGATAACTTTGCTGTTAAGAGATGTACTGCTATTTTCCCTTCTCTTATCATGTATCAGTAATGGGGTGGTTGGGTAGCACAATGTTTAAAGTGTCCGCTTGTCACACAGAAGACCTGAGTTTGATTCCCCACTTTGGTCCAATATGTGAAGCCAGTTTCTGGTGTCGTACCCCCTACTGTGATATTGCTGGAATATCGTTAAAAGCAGCTTATAACCATACAGACTCAATCACATATTATATGTTTCAAAACATCATTTGGCAAACCATTAGCCTGTAAGCTGATTGATAGTTCATTTGAAAACAGTGATATCTTGATTTACTATTTTCATAGTGTATTTAATTTAGAAGGGAAAAGGAAACTATTCCTACATATTTGTTGTTCCTTGGGTCCCACTTTTATCTTTGAAAATATAAAAGTTGCCTTGAAAATGTCTCAGACATAAAAAATATACCGTACTACTATCCACATGTTTACCTTGAAAATGTGAAAATTGCTGTGAAAAGGCCTTAAACAGACGGAAAAGATATACCAAATCCTTCTGTTAACCTTGAAAATGTGAAAATTGCTGTGAAAAGGCCTTGAACAGACATCAAATGTGTACCATACTGGAATCCTACTGTAACCTTGAAAATGTTAAAAGGCCTTGAACAGACATTGAATGTATATGTGGTTTAAGCATACAGAGGTCCCATTATTAGCCATAAACATGTCAGAAGTGCTTTCAAAAGACCTTAATCTTACAAAAATATTGGGTTTTTTTTACAATTTTGTTTGAACCATGGTACATTTTGATACTTTACCTAGTTACAATGACACCTCAGTAGAAGCCATGAGACAAGTGCCAGTGAAGTTGAGGAGAAGCAATTCCAAATTTTCTCAGTAAACAAAATTGTGAGCCCAAGATTATCTCACAACACCTTCTTCAGCCTTATGTGTTTGGTGTAATGAGAACAGAATCAATATTTGTCCACAGACTTTAGAGGAATGATTTCTAAAGCTTTATCTGCAAGGTATCAGTAACTGTTGGTCTCCTTTCTTCCAGGACTGAAATGGATATGATATTTTTGGTATTCATCAGTAATTGGTCAATGAGTTATTTATTTTGGTGCCTACATTAGTCTAATGAAGAAGTGACCCAGATAGCTTTCAGTACACTTTAAGGAGTGTTGAATACTTGTAATAATTAACCATACTGGAATCTACTGTTCCAGTATTATCTGCAGGGGTGGAAATAACCAATTGCCCGACGTCTGAGTCCAGTGTTTGTTTTCTGTCGTGCAAGCAAATTCGTATATCACACTGTACCGGCGTCCATTTGACTT